AAAAAAATAGAACTTTTAAATAGTTGATTTGATATTAATATTAATTTTTTTTAAAATTTTTTATGATATCTTTAAATTTATATTATATTCAATAATAAAATTATTATTGCTTTTTTAAAAAACATAAAATCATATTATAACATCGATAAAAACAAATAATAAAACAGAACATTAAGGGGGTGTTTGGGATTGCTTATAAAAGTTGACTTTTAACTTATTTCAATCCGACATTGGTGATAAGTTGTTTTCTGGTGTTTAGATAAGAAAAAAAAACTGCTTATATCGATGCCAAACCAGTAATAAGCTGTTTTTGATAAGTTAATCTTTTTTGACTTATAAAAAATTGTTTATTACCGGTTTACAATTTTAATTTCATTTTATTTAACTTCAATTTAATACCACATAAAATAATAAACAATTTAATTTTTTTTATTTTTAAATAAGCAATCCCAAACACCCCTTTATTCAATGAGTCTGGCACCGGTATAAATAAACGTCTTTGCAACCATTTGAATTTAGCGGAATCACAGAGTTGGCCCTTCGGTTTTGTTGCAGTGTACTGGACCGTATAAACGGAACGACCTTTCAAGTTTCGACAAAGGGAGCAACAATGGCGTCTGCTATATCCGGTGCCATAGCAAATGCTTTGCTGTTGCCTCCCTCAACAGTCGGGAAGTTAGGGCTCACGTTAGCAACCACACCTCGGAGGAAATGCTGCTCACTCTTATCTCCCTCGACGGAGCTGGTATATCGTTGCGTGCGGCGAAGGAAAAATGTGCCCGCAGCAAGAAAACTAGTTGTTCGTGCCGCAAGAACAGAGTCTGTGGGCGTGTCTCTCGGTTCCAGAGCTCCTAATTTTGAGGTGTTACCTTTCTCAGCTCTATGGTTAAATCCAATTTATTTGAATTACTTTATCATATTTTCTCATATTCTATTAATTTTTATTCGACCTTCCCGGAGTTCATTCTCCGGACAACTCCGTTTAACCGGTGGATTCCTTCCAAAGAATTTTGTTCGATTTTTCACTAAACACGAGTTCATACAATTATTTACAGGAAACTAAACTTCAACTTTGCCAATTTGATTTTCTAAAACCTTTCTCATTTGTGTTGTGTGTCTGTGTTGATAAACTTGTTCAGCTACAGGAGCCGCTCACAGGGAATATCTGGAAATTAGAGGACTTCGAATCTTATCCTGCGTTACTGGTAAATAAAACGGTTAAGAGGAATTCGTTTTTCCGTTCTTATTTTCCACTTCTCTATTTGACAAGTTATTTGGGAGAACACGGTAAACGTTACTGCACAAATATTGAACATATTGTGTTGAAAATTGTGGTGTTGACAGCTAACAATTTATTTTCTTTGATTATAATACTTTGAAAATATATGGTTGTGAGTGTATCTGTGCTTGTATTTGATATAAATTTTGATCAAATGCTAATAGTTTGATTCTGGTTTTGAGATTTGGATTAGCTTTAGCACTAGATAAGCTTTTGCATTAACATGAAACAACCAGACAATTATGGGAGATGGTGAGAGATTGAGCACGGCCTATTGAATAAAAGTAATTCATAATCATCCGGTTAGGATCTATCTAAACCAGCTCATTATGTATATGATTCAACATGCCAACTATTTAAACAACTTATTAGAAATACAAGACAACCAATTAGAAATGTCACAAAATCCCCCGCACTTTGGGGATGCCCTCAGCGTCGAGGAACATGTACTACTTGAATATTCCAATAGCTATTAGAAAAGTAAAGAGTTCCTGTACTTCTCATCCTATATCCAAGTATCTTTCTTATAATAATCTTTCTAAGAAACATAGTGCTTTTATTACAAAGTTATCCAACCAGTTTGTTCCAAGAAACATACAAGAGGCACTCGATAACCCTAATTGGAAATCATCAGTGATGGAAGAGATGAATGCTCTAAAGAAAAATGCTACATGGGAAGTTACTGATCTACCGAAATCAGAAAACAGTTGGGTGCAAATGGGTGTTTAATGTGAAATGCAAGGCATGTGGGAGCATTGAAAGATACAAGGCAACATTAGTCGCTAAAGGTTTCACCCGAACATACAATATTTACTATCAAGAAACTTTTGCTCCAGTTGCATAACTCAATACCATACAGGTGTCAATATCTCTAGCGGAAAAAATTGTGATTGGCCCCTACCCCAGTTAGATATCAAGAATGCATTCTTGAATGGCGATTTGCAAGAAGAAGTGTTTATGAGACTTCCTCTGGGGTTTGAAAAGCTGTTAGGACAAGGCGAAGTATGTAGTCTAAAAAAAATCCCTATATGGCCTTAAACAGTCTCCAAGGGCAAAGGCCTGGTTTGAAAGATTTGAAAGGCAGTGAAAAGTTGTGGCTATCATCAAAGCCAAGCTGATCACACAATGTTTTATAAGCGATTAGAAAAAGGTAAAATCTCTATCTTAATCGTCTATGTGGATGACATAATCTTGACTGGTGATGATTACGAAGATCTAACCAATTTGAAAAAGGGGTTAGCCCGAGATTTTGAGGTAAAAGATCTAGGACCGCTAAAATACCTACTGGGTATGGAGTTTGCCAGATCCAAGAAGGCATCTTATATCCTTGATCTTCTCAGTGAGGCCGTGTCGATACTCCAATAGATCCTAATCTTAAACTTTATCATGCTAAAGCTGAAGAAGTGACTGATAAGGAGAAGTTTCAAAGGCTTGTGGGAAAGCTGATCTATTTGTCACATACACGTCTAGATATTGTATTTGCACTAAGCCTGGTTAGCCGATATATGCACTCACCTGGATGAGAACACTTTGAGGCAGCCTTTACGATTTTAAAATATCTAAAAGGAAACCCTGGAAAAGGTCTAATGTTAAAAAAAAGTGACAACTTTCAGATAGAAGTATTCACTGATTCAGGCTGGGGTGATACTAGTACTGATGGACGATCAAAGTCTTTCTGTTCCTGATTCAACTYCTTCATGCCATTGATTGATGCAAGTCTTTGGCTACTGTACGATCGTTGGAGGAATCTCGTAATATGGAAACGTAAAAAACAAAATGTTGTGGCACGAAGTAGTGCAGAAGCATAATTCAGGTCTCTAGCTCATGGAATCAACGAGGCAATCTGGTTGAAGAGATTATTTTAAGACTTGAAGATTCCCATAATTCAACCTATAAAAGTATATTGTGATAACAAGGCAGCCATCTCAATAGCTCACAACCCAGTTCTACATGACATAACCAAACAAGTTGAGATTGACAAGCACTTTATCAAAGAGAAAGTAGTTTGATTTGTATATCTTTCGTGCCAACTACACATCAGATAGCAGATATCCTCACAAAAGGGCTACCCAAAAGGCAATTCGAATATTTGATAAGCAAGCTAGGCATGAGTGATATCTTTGAGCTAGCTTGAGGGGGAGTGTTGCAAGCCTCGATTAAACAGAGGATTTGTTATTTTTTTTCTTTGTATAGCTGTTAATTAGCTGTATATTCTCTAGGCTGTCCTAGAATCTTTTCCTTTTATTTTTCCCTTGTAACCCTATAAATGTTGTATCTTTTCTCCTTTTCGATATACAAGAAATAAAAAACCCGTTTTTTCTGAGAATTATTTGTTGATGTTAAATCCTATATTGCCATTGATCAAGTGTTGACATTTAGAAATGAATTTTTTCCTTATTCGAGGTTTTATAGAAAATTTTAAAATTAGTCGCTCTTTCCAGATTTGAGGGTGTTACATCATACCAAATAAATTACTTGTCGAGAACCCCTACCAATGTTTCTCCTGTCATTAGGACTATTCGGCCTTGACTAATTTTGTGGCCATCACTAGAACCTCATACATAACCTTTTCACATCTTCCTTCATCTCTCTAGAGCCACTCTCTCAACCTAAACTAAACATTTAACTCTTGTGAAGATCAAGTCTTTGTAAACACGTTAGGCATAAGATAATAGGCAAGTGTTAGTAACTCTTGAATTCTCGCGCATCATAGGCCAGACGAAATCATAAGCCAACGGGAGACCATGAATAACATAACAAGATGTAACTTATCTTCTTGTTTCATTTCCTGAGGATCGAAACTGTAGGGAAAACAAGCTTCAACTTCATTGGCTAATTTCTTGAAGAAATGATCCTCTCAGCCAGAAAGACCGAACATGCATGAAACAACTCGTCGATCTCGAATTAGTAGCGACTAAATGATCCTAGAGTTGAGTTCGTAGCACCACCAAGATATTGGTTTTTGTGGCACCCAACCAATTACAAAATTTCTGTTTTAAATGATTTGGAGAAAGTGGACCAACTACTCTAATTATGATTGTTTAACCTAATTGGAATTTGTAATATTACAAACATCAATTTTAATATTCATGATAGAGCTACTAATCTTCCCTAACATTTTTATCATTCCCCAATTGGTCAAGCAAGTCCATAATAATAACGATGGTCAAAACACAACGAAAATTATTTTTGATCCCCATATATCAACGTGGTAGAACATCAAAGCATAAAGCAAAGGACGATTAAGACATGAGTATGCCAAACTATATTTACTAGAGTGATGAGGTTGTGCAACCACAATTGTTTACTAGAGGATGCTCTTTGACTAGAGTAGATCATAACTAGAGACTTTAAAATTCTAGAGACAGAAAATCACAAAGGAAACAACCTCATGAAGGTGGAAAACTTTCAGAATAGTAGGATGGCCGGAAAGTTTAAACCTTAACATTCTATTGTCGGTCTTGCAACCACAATGATGAAAAACTTGTGAACTGGGCTGCCCTTCTCTATGTGTGTGCATGTCTCTAAAAATGATCCTGATGCAATCAATTGGGTAAGTTGCTATCAAAGCATGAAATTGAATGCTTATGAACACCAGAGCCACTTCCGAGAGGTGGATAATCTCTCCCACTTGGTTGATACAATCAATCAATACCCCTCTACCTTACCTAGACCACTTATTTATACTTTTGACAACTACTTCCCCCCTGACTACTTGAAGCTCTCTGTCACACTGTTGACAAATAACAACTCCTACAAAAAGACCAAACTAACTATTTCTTCTTTTATAGTATGTAAAAAGGATACCCTTCTCGCATCTGATACATAAGGCCTTCAATACATGAGCTAATACCTTTGCAATTATCAACCCAGAGTTGAGAATGTTAGCAACAAACTAACTTTTATGTGATTCTTGTTGAGTCACTGTGTGGCTTCATTTCTTGGGAGTTTGGAGGACACACTAACAGTAAATGATGTCTTTGGCAGGTCATGTTTATTTGCAATCATTGTCCATTTGTTAAGCACTTGAAAAAAGACATTGTAAAGCTTACAAACTTCTATATGAAGGTAGGTTGGTAACTGATCTATTTTCTTTCTCACTTCTATTTGTGATTTGCATTGACAACTTGGAATCTTGGTATCCTACTGCAGAAAGGGCTTGGAGTAGTTGCAATATCCTCGAACTCCATAGTTACTCACCCTCAGGTTCAGTTGAACTTACCACTTTTGACATACTATGTGAAATGAAAGATGTACTCAAATTTCAATCATACAAAATAAACAGTTATAATTTCTATGGATCTCCACCATTGCTTTACATCTTGCAGGATGGACCAGTTTTCATGGCAGAAGATGCGAGACTGTTTAACTATCCGTTCCCATACCTTTATGATCATGTAAGCTTCTCTCAGCCTCTAGGCACTGCGACTTTATCCTTTTCTACATTGTTTTCTAGTTATATTTTGTTTGCCTTCTTTTTGGTTAATTTCATCTATACAGTTTGATATCTTTAGGTCCACTATCATTTCTTATGATTGTCTTTGAGATAAGCACATAGAATTCATATTTCTTCTACTAAATTGTTCTTTATTATGTTGGTAAGCTTTACAATGTGATAGCGTGATTTGGAACGAGATTGATAGCGTGATCTCGAGACCAAACCGGTGGTAAACCCGACAGTTCCTCAAAAACCGGAGCAAACTTATCAAAAATTTTCAACAGTTTTTGTGACTGTTGTGACGACAAGGTCGGCTCCATTTCTTCCAGCTGCTCTCCTTCAGTTAAACACAATGAGGGATGAGCTTCTGTTAACCAACTGTGTAACGAAGCCCGTGCTCGAGAATGCAACGATGTACTTGATAAACAGACCTCTTTACCCTTATACATGAACCGCATCGTGTGAGCCTCCCAATTATGGACGACGTCTCCCAAGGTTTGTAGCCAATCGATCCCTAACACCATATCTAGGTCACCCATTTCGAACAACAGGGCGTCGACCTCGAACTCGCAATTCCCTAGAACAATTGGAAGACCTTCACACCGTTGAGTCACCAAAACCTTGTGTTCATCGCCAAGCTTAACTCTCTGCCCCGTAAACTTCTGTACCGCCAAATCTAATGCGTCTGTAAGTTTTCTGGAGATAAAATTGTAGGTTGCCCCACTGTCGACTAGTACGACTATCGGAATTCCACGTAAAAATCCTTCGAGCTTAACCGTCTGTAATTTGGGTTTCACAACAACACTTGCACCCCAGAACTCCATAATCGAGCATTCCCCCGTTTCGAATTCTCCTTCGTTAACAACCTCCTCTGGTTAATTCAACGGAATGTGTTCTCCATTCTTCTCGTTTTCCTCATCATCAACTAATAGCAACACCCAAAGGTTAGCTTGCAGGCATTTGTGACTAGGACCAAATTGTTGTCCACATTTGAAGCACAACCCCTTGCGGCGACKATCCTCCCATTCTGTCCGTGACAACGTYMYGACCCCACGATTTCGATTWYCCRATGGTTGAACAGCCTCCGTGTGCTGAGGACTGACCACCGATGCAATTGATGATGCCCTAGCCACCGAATCCCCTCTATTGAACGTACGTCGTTCAAAATTAGGGATACCAGATTGGGCCTTCGATATGTTTGAGCCCATTGGGCCTATTGATGGACCAACAAAAGTCGAATCGGAACGCTGAGTCTGGTAGCGATATCTCGAATTAAGCCGTGTAAGGTCTGAAGGATTTAGCATCTGCTCCACATCCCTCGCTATGTACATCGCATCAAGCCGAGTTTGAGGACGCTGGAGCCTCACCCATTGCTTAATTTCAGGACGCAATCCGGCTAAAAAATAACCCAGTGCTTGCGATTCAGGCAGACGAGGAATCAAAGATAGCAAATATTCAAAATCGTCAATGAAATCATGYACTGAATCAACCTGTTTAATGGTTGCTAACTGTTCATACGGATTTTGTATTTCGAGACCTCCAAATCGTTGCAGCAGTTCGCGCGTAAATTGTTCCCAACTTAGGTTATCGTGAATGTTCCTCACCACCGTGAACTAGTGTTGAGCTACCCCCGTCATACTCAATTGAGCCAACCGGATACGTAATTCGGGTGCAGTCCCATGGATCTCGAAGTATAATTCAGCCTTCGATATCCAACCACGAGGATCGTATCCTCCAAATTATGGTAGCTTCACCTTCTTAGCCACGCAATATTGAACCGGATTAGATCGATCGGTCTCGGAATTGACGTTGAAAGGAGGTGTGAAGGGAGGAGGAGTTAGCCCAGATCCCGACGAATCCCTTCCTTCTGGATTTTTGCCTGATTGGTTCTTCACCCACGCCATCATGTAAGCTCGGAATTCCTTCTCTTCGTCTTGATCTATCTCCATTGCCTTCAACGAATCTTTGATTTCTTGTACATCTGTCTGTAAATGATGGATTTGGCTTTCAGGGTTCTCAATTCGGGTTTGAAAACGTGTCTCCATTGGAAATCCGGCAGGTCGGATCAGTGATACGAAATTAACGGATTGGGGGAAACTGGCTATTTGATTGTATTGAAGGAAAAGGAAAATTCAGGGAAAAGGAACAAGACTACTTACTATCCTCGAAGGATTCCAGGGAAGACTCCCTTCTCTAACAACTTAGAGCTTAAGAAATGAAAACGGTTATTTTCTGCATGCCCCTCCTACTGCTTATTTAAAACCAATAAACGTAACAAACTCCTTAATGGGCCTTGGACCTCCTGGAATACACTTTCCACACATTGGGCTTAAACACACTAGTTGGGCCAAGACTAAGACTATTCTCATTCGTATCAAAGAGTTGGTGTGTTGGTGAATAAAAAGCTTAATCGATAAACTTTGGGACATATCGAAGCCTTACTGTAAGTAGAGTCTAAGAATAGTAGGCTTTCGGTCAAAATCAAGCCCAAGAAAGTAATGTACAATGTTAATCTATAATAAAACTATGTATCGGCACAATTGATTTACTAATCGGTTATGATCAAGTATCATTGATCAAACTAAAGGGGTTATAATACATTAATAAATAGATAAGAACTTAAGAACTAAATGTGTTGATATCTTTGAAGCTATAATTGAGCTAACAAAACTAAACAACATTGGTTGGAAACCAAAATTACATTGTATTGGGTATAAATTTGATATTTACATTTTTATATTAGAATGTAGAAAAAAATAGATAATTGTAATGATGTATTTATTTTTATAACTAGAATTATAAATGTAGTGCAATTGATTAAAACAAAAACATTTAAATGTCCTTTTGAGTACAAAAAGAAAAATCAATAATCAATAATGTAAATATGAAGTCAGTGGACTGCATTGGAGCTTAGTAATGGGTTTTTGTGGCTTAAGTTCAAGGAGTGTGGTTGCATGTTTTGAATATTTTTGACCATTGGTAGAGACTGGTCCATTGCCACCTGAAATTTTTGTTAATGTAGGTTTTTTATTATATAAACCATGGACCGGTTCATGATTGAGGATGAAAGGTTTATGAAATGTGCAGGAAAGAGAAAATTGATGTGGCAGAGAGAAATCTCGTTAGAGGTTCATGACTGTGGATGCTCTAAGTGGTTCGGACACATCATAGGGTGGCATATAATGCCACCGTTAGGAGGGGCTATATAAAGAGAAGGATTCCTTATTTCTCATTCATTTTTCAGTTCCAAAACAAACCTAGCAGAAAACTCTTTTCACATATACATGACTGGGGGAGCAAAATAAGGAAATAAGAGCAAGCAGAGGAAGAAATCAGTCTGCAGAATTCTAAATATCATACAACTAAGCTTAAGGTGGTTATATGTTTTGCTTCCAATGTGATACACAACATGCATATGTTTGTAAAATGGGTTATGATTCATGTATTTGAATTGATATATTGAAAGTCATGCCGTTTCATGAGTTTATGTAAGAAAAAAATAGGTTTTATGTTTCAACGAAGATGTGTTGGTTATTTTGATATAATAATCAATTTTATTACAAAACAGAAAGTTCAGATGACATATCTTCACGAGTTTAAAATTTATCAATAGGTTTAAAATTTTGTTATGAAAGCTTCATGATTTCATATTCATCATCATGTAGCATAAGAGTCAGGTGGCTTGTGGATTCTTTGAAATTCTAGAATGTGAGGTTATGTGGATTCTTGAAATCCTAGGTAAGGAATTATTTATATTGCCACAAATAAGCTACTCGTTTTAGCTATTTGTTAGTTATATGCATCATACATGTTTTAATCAATTGTATGAAGAATCAGGATCATAACCTGAATGGATATATATAAAACTTGTAATAACCCAACAAATATATTTGCTTTCAAATGTATGTGTATCACAAGCATAAACCTAGAAATGATGTGAGTTCAGCACCTGAGTGAGAGATCACGAGTTAGATTAGTTATGACAATGATAGCGACTGTGTTAGTTTTATGTTCTATCAAAGTTGGTTATTACAAGGTTGGTTCCATCTTCTGTACCAGTTTTTTGATAAAATAGAACTTATGTTTTATCGCTTCCACAAGTTTCTACAAAGTTACCTAATACTACATTTTATTTAAGGTAAAAGAAATGAACGTAACACATCATTTGGGTGTCCATTTCGAGCATCGAAATGCGGTGTTACGGTTTTGGTGTTAGAGCGTTTGAGCTATATGGTTTTCTTCAAAAACTCAAACCCAAACCGTTTGAAAGACAAACCGATGGAACCACTTGCAAAGTAGGGAAACCGAGTCATAATCGAGTCTTGGCATCTTAAGTTCGTTGTGTGTTAGTTTAGATTGTTGTAGGAATGGGTTATTGAATATTAGGGTTAAAGATTGTGAGAAGACCAGTGAAGACTCGTGACTGGATTTGAAATCTGAGTGAAACACTGGATTTGTTATCTCATGTCTGCTTTTCATGAAGAAATACCAATCGAAGTGGAGGGTGTTTTCAAACAAGGGGCTGGCTCAACGAGTCGCCGGCTCTTTCTTCAACTGGCACGCGGTTAGAGCCCCGAGCTCCTCCCTCTACTTGGGAGCTTACGTTTTCATTGCGGAATTTCTATGCGAATCCATATCTAAATGAAGTTTTCCAATCACCGACTCAAACCCATTGTCAAACTCTACCTCGATGCAATATGGAGGTACTGATGGCAAACGGGTCACTTGGCAATTAAGCGGTTCCTTTTTTTAGAAAGAAATTATGTTCAAGTAAACAAATAGAAAAGATATACCTGGTTCTTCTATTATTTGGTCTACCGTTGGAGGAAACCTAGTCTCCTGAAAAAGGAAGAGACAACCTAGAGTCTGTCCAAAAAAATGTGCATCTGAAGTTGCTATTTTGGTTGTGCGGTGCTTGGACCAGCCAATACACTTTCATTAATGAGGCTGGTCATGGATCTGGGATCCATTTGGCTGAAGAACTAGGTTTTCCATAAAAGGCCACACATGGTCATGTCATAATACCCATACAAATGGTCTGACACTCTGGCCAACTAACTTATCAACATCGGGACTGAAGAATACGTTGCTAGTTGGGCATAATAAATATGTATGCTCCAACTTGAGAAGTTTAGTTGTACTCTTACAGTTGTTTACTTGTATTGCTATGTGTTTTGTCCGAGTTTATTAGGGTTCCTTTTTTCTTATATCTGCATCTTATTTTTAGCTTGAGCCCATGCTCATCATTCATATGGGGATTCCCCATCAGTTATAGACTTCCCTTCTAATCTCAATTACGTAAGAGTGCAGAAGTGAATACAAGTATTTATTGGCTACATAACTAACAGGAATGCTTAATATAACTCTTAATATTCACCTGATCTCAAAGGTAGATTGTTGAATTTCAGCATCATGATATGGGTTGATCTGAAATTAACAATGACAGAGGTCATAATATACAAAAGATTTAACAGGTCAAGTAATTACTTTAGATAATCTTCCTTTTAAAGAGAAGTTTGACCATATTATGCCTGTAAAGCTTCTTGTAGGTTATTGGATTGATCTTTTTTCCCATCTTACTAATTGTATCTATGCAGTCACAAGAAGTTGCAAGAGACTATGGAGCTGTTTGCACACCCGAGTTTTACCTATTTAAAAAGGTACACGACTGTCAATTGTACGTAGTATATGTTGTCAAAGCTTGGGCCTCTTATGATTATGTATCAAGTAAATCCAGTGATGACTAGGTTTGATAGGTAGGTGTACATGGAGACGGAGGATTAGGGTAGTAGACTATGTTTGTTATTTTAACCGGTTGGGAGAGTTTAGGCAGGAGATGTGTGTGTGTGGGTTTTTCTTTATACTTATTTTTCTTGTAATTCGCCAACCTGTTGCTGGTAATCTCACACTCTTATACAAGCCTGCGGTCTCCATGGAAACCCCCTCCCCCAGGCCATACTTTCGAGTGGGATTTAGTGGGTGGGTCAGTTTGGTTATCCAGTGAATCACATACGTGCAAGCCTAAACATTTCCTTAAATATTAGCGATAACTTGAGTGTGTCATCCCATGACAGGATGGGCGTCGATTCTTTGAACTAGTATATCATGGTCAGTTTGATGATTCACGGCCAAGCAATAATGTTCGTGTCACCGGGAGGTTGGTTCACATCTTCACAATCCATCCATCTTTGACTTGTATCTGGTTATGTTTTTATTTTATTTTATAATTTGAATAAATAAATACATGTGTACCAGGGACTTGAGCCTGGCAATAGACTACGTTCTTAGTGGTCAACCAGTTGCAAAAAATCAGAAACCCAGGTACCTTTATGTGTTGACTTTCTTTTACCACCATGTTATCTATTATAGAGAGAAAAAAGATTTTCTTTCTTTAACCAGAATCTCTATATAATAGGAATAGGAGAGAGAACATACGATCCTCAAATTTAAAGAAGTAGGGTTTTACGTAAAATTTGTTTAAAAGTTGGTTTAATCGGTTGAAAGTTTGTTCTCTATTAAATATATTGAAATTTTAATAATCGAATTTTTTATAAAATAGAAAATCTAATGGATTTAACAGCGTCCAATATATTCTTTTAAAATAAAGGTTTTTTTCTCTATTTTACTTCAACAGATTCTTTATATTGTTTTCTAAGATAAGAAATTTAGGTTTTACTTCTAATGATTGTCGGTATACTGTTATGTAAATTGTTTAAGAAATCTGACTTAAGAAATAAAAGAAATCTATGAAAAATATTGCCCTTTTTGTAGGATGAGATCACAATCTCTGGTAATTGTTTTATTTGTCAACAGTGTTGGATGCAGCATAAAGTGGCATCCAGATGGAAGCGTATAAGTGGCCCACAATGTTGGTTCAAGCTTCATACCAGTTGATACATACATTACGTACTACCATCTTGCATCTACTCTTATACTGTGTATCATTCTTTAGTTTCACTTCAATGTTAATGGTGTTGTACAGTTACTCTATCCTTACAATACAAGGAAATATAACATTCGAACAAATGTAAGTAAGAATATACTTGTTTTTTTCAGATAAAATGCATAACTATGTCCATCTCATGTCGATTGTGCTAACAAGTAGAAAGCAAGTGATGTTATGGTTGTGAAAAACATATTTCCAATGTATGAATACTTGCTAAGATGAAATCATATTTCGAGTATTTTCAACATAGTAAAACAATGATTCTCCCAAGTGTAGTGTCATATATAGGTACAATCACCATCAAAAAGTTAGACATACAAAAACAAGAATATCATTACAACAAATATGATATCTAGGGTTATATACTAAACGTTTACCTGATAAATGATTACTGGGTTACTTTACATTATAAGATAAACATGATAGAAATTGAGAATAGTAAGTGAAAGTAATGACTTTTATCCTACTAAGGGCTTACTAGATAAAAATGTTGCAAAAGTAAGTTAAATGAGATTATTGACTCTTACTAGTAAGTGCTTACCGGGTAAACATAAGGTAAACATCTCGTTAGTCTAAAAAAAACTTCTCTAATAGCTCTAGAAAAGCTTTTCAACTTCTGCCAAACAAAAACTCTGTATAAAAATGTAGCTAATGTTTTAGGGAAGATTTCTAAGGTTTAGGCTTTAGTGATGCATTTTGTAGATCTAATTTTAAGCTAACTCTTAGTTACACTTTCACAAACCTTTTCTAAACGGTGTCTATATACTTAACCAAAACCTTCTCTAAAACATATATATATCCACCAAATGCATACCGAGTAAACCTTTATATATATATCCACCATAAGCTTACTGAGTAAACTTATGTGGGATAATATTCTATATTCTGTATTCAAACTGTTGATATACAAAAGCTAAGACGGGTGAACAGCAAAATGGCTGTCCCATGAGAAGAGCAGCAAAATGACAATTGATTCAAATCTTAAGAAATAAATGATGGTTTCTTAACAACTTATCAAATAATTAAAAACCCACCAAATGTCAAAGCATTCACCATAAAACAAGGTGAAAACAAAATATAGGTTTCACCGAACGATTTTTCCGTCAGAAATTATCAGCATGCTATTGACGGATTTTCTGCTAGATCATGATCACCAACCATATTTTCTCCGTCGATGATGGCTTTTTCTGCGAGATTGCCGAGGTCTTTCCATTGGTGAAGCCCCTTTATTTTGTAGTGATTGTCCGTCCTACAAAATTAAAGAACAAAAAAGGTTTATGATGAACTTCCAATTAATTATCTCTAGAGTACAATACACCGACAAAAACAAGATACGAAAAATTTGTCACCAAAAAAGTCTAGTGTCATGTTGATTTGTCGATTAAATTTGTGATTTGTTGTCCTCTGGCTGAACTCAACATATCCCTTGTTACAAAATAATATACGATGTATAACCTCAACATGTCTTCTATTACAAACAAAAGTTAATTATACTTACCGGTTTATTCCTATGGTGTGGTGGTGTTGCGAAATCGGTCCCTAAACTTTATTTATACAATCAGATTTGTCATTTGCATGTTTCTAATGATTTGGTCCCTCACCCCTAACAATCGTTACCTTTTCCTGTTAAATCCATTTAAATGACGGATAAAATGGTCCTTTTACCTATTTATCTATTTTAACACACACACACACACACATATAGGTTTAATTTTTTGAGAACTCCTATATTTAGAGATCTGTGAGATCCATTATAAACCATATATTATTATTAATTTCTTTTATAAGTTATTTATTTAATAATGGGTTATCTTGTAATTTCTACATATATGACATTTTTGAGATATTTCCTATTCCTTTGGAGTCCATTGGGTTTGAAAACCCCAGTAGAAGTAGGTATGGAGATTTTTAGACGCAACTCCAAGGAAGAAGACAATCTTGATGATGAAAGTATTTCAGACGAAACAATTGAGAAGGCACTGCATTTTGGAAAACAACAAATCTATGGACTAAAAACCCTAGGTTCATTAACGATCTCGGCTACCAAAAGATCCGTCAACCACACCACATATTCGACCACTTCTTCTCTGTCGAAACCACCACCAATATAGGCGACGACTTCTTCCAACCACCACTACACCATCCTCTCTTCGTCGTTGTCTCTGATTACTACTACAATCGAGTTCTTCTCTGTAACAGCCCTAAAATAAGAGACAATTTAAACCAAATACTTAAACGGGAAAGAGCTTAGTAAATATAAAATCACCCAATAAAGGGGAAATAGTGTAAGCGTTTACATCTGAATAAGGATGCTAGTCAAAAACCTAATAATCTATACTAATTCAAAATATAGATTACATTTGGACGTCGCTAAGATACTCAAAAGAAAAATATCTAGTAACTCCACAAGTATGCTCAAGGACGTAATTCCCAAAAATGCCTCCAACAGCACGCATGCTCCACTCAACCCTTGGGAGTCCCACCACTAAGAGAACCTGATATACATGCCATTTGAGAAAAAATGTATTTTTGTTATGCATAAAGTACTGTATATTGATGTATATTACTTAAAATTCAAGATTACAAGTAATTAT